TAAGGATCCCTACAGGCCAACTCCGAAAGAGGCGGCTACATCCTGGCCCACTGGTGAAGTCGGGTGGAACATGTGCCCTCTTGAGGAGGACCGAATGTCCACTACTAGTAGCGTGGGATCACGTTCTACGCGTAAGAGGAGAGCCGTCATTATGGACAGTGATGACTCTGGTGACGGAGCTAAGGAGAAGGAGGAGATCGATGACCAGGTAGACCTCCTTATGCCGACACTCCACCTCGGAGCGAGGTTGGCTTATTTTGCGGACGAGGCCGAGTCGCTGCGGTCCCGCTGCAAAAAACTAAAGAGAGAATTTTCGAGCAAGTTCCGATCATACTTTGGAAAGATGAAGATCATCTCGGAGGAATTGACTAGGAGAGCTGAATCCAAGTCCGATGATGATAGGCTCAGGCGCTCGGTAGCGTCTCTCACGCGAGAAGTGAAGTCTCTTCACGAGGAGATTCTCTCTCTCAAAAGGGAGAACAAGAGGTTCATGCTGGAGAACCAAAGGTCCAGGGGCAATAGTGATGGACTTCCCTGTGACGGCGAAGGAGACTTCCTCCTCTCCTTCCCGGCCAAAAAAGAGGTCCCCGCCTAGGGATGCTCTGGGGGATACTAGAAAGAAGTCTTACAGCGAGGCGTGTGCGTCGACCGCTCAGTCAGACAGGAAGTTTTTCAGCTTGCCTGTAGTAGAGGAGAGAGTGGCTACGGCGGTATTTAGTTGCATAGTCGACCTATTTACCTCTCACGGACTCTTTGCTCCTCAGGCGTTGGCTGCGCCTGAAGGAAAGAGAAAAGCTGGTGCTCTCAAGAAGGTTGTAATCAAGGAGACCTCCAGTGGAGCTGAGCCTCCCACTGAGAAGCGGCGGTCATCTCTGTCCAGGAGATCCTTTCCCGAGGCTTCCGATCCGTCGACTACCGATGCGTTTCCCCCGTCTGCTACCGATACGGATGGGGAGTGGAGAACTGTGGGGAGAAGGATCAAAAGGAGAAGGGTCTTGAGGAAGGATCTGAGAGATTCTCCTCTTTCCCCCCCCCCCAGTCCTGGGGAAAGAATGGAAGGGAACCCCTCAGGGGATAAAGGATGTCCGGAGTGGAAGGAATCAAGAGGGAAAGGGTTCGGGCTCCGTCTCTGCAGTCGTTCGCGGGGATAGACGTCGCCCTCCTAGATCATCTGTAGTCATCATTAACTTCAAGGACAAGAGCGTCACTTCCGAATCCTTCCGGAAAATCAGAGAAATGGTGGTGCCCAGTCAGCTCGGTATTCTTCGCTCGAGGACCAGGTATACCGGCTCTGGTGACATCTTCATAGAGGTCCAGGGAGAGGACAATTCGGCCAAGGCGGACCTCTTGGCCGAGAAAGTTAAACAGGTGGCTAGCCTTAGTGTCAAGGTCTCGCGTCCGGTTCGTATGGCGGAGGTCAAATTGTACGGCCTGGATGACTCCGTCACTGATCAGGAGATTGTTCGCGCGATAGCGGAGTCTGTCGGCTGCAAACCGGACAGTGTTGCTCCAAGCGAGCCTTTTAAACTCGCGAATAGACTCAACGTGGTGTGGGTTAAGTGTCCCCTCGTCGCTGCGTTGAAGTTGGCTCGGGAAGGTCGACTGACCATCGGTTGGTCTTCGATCAGGGTCTCCCTGATGCCCCAACGCAAGGCCCAGTGTTTTCGTTGCCTGGATTTCGGTCATCTTAGCTCTGCCTATAAGAGCGAAGTGGACAGGCTCTTGTTATAAGTGGTGAAAAGGGCCACATCGCTAAACTCTGTGCTGGCGAGTTACGGTGTGTTCTGTGCTTCGAGGCCGGAATTCAGTACAATCATCGGATAGGTGCTCGGTGTGGTGCGATAAAGTTCCCCGGCAAACTTAAGCCAGTTCGGAGGCTGGCCCCCGCGGAGGAAGTGCGCATGGAAGTGAACAATGGCTAGAGTGCTCCAAATTAATCTCAACCATGACAGGAAGGCCCAGGATCTCATGGTTTGCTGAATGTTTGAGCGTAGGATACCCGTTGCCGTCGTCTCGGATCCCTACAGGACTTCTGGAGCAGGTATGTGGTACACATCCAAAAGCCAAGCATGCGCCATTTTGGTCCTGTATAACAGGGGGACCATCTCTTCCACGCTCGTTAAACGTGGAGCCGATTTCGTGGTCGTTTCGATCAACGACTTGCGTGTAGCGAGCTGCTACTCTCCTCCGAGTAGATCTGCGGCGGAATTCGGGTTGCTCCTCCACGAGCTACATGACTTCATTGCTGACTCTCGATGTCGCACTATTATCGCGGGTGATTTTAACGCTCAATCCACCAGTTGGAGTGACCGAATCACCAATGATCGCGGTGGGGCCCTGGAGGATTGGCTCGACATGGCCAGCTTTTGGGTGGTGAACGATCGGGGTGTGCCGACATTTGAGAGGCCACAGGACAGGTCCGTCATCGACCTGTGTCTCGTGCCCAATGATTCCTCTCGGGAGTTCGTGAGGTGCTCGGTGGACACCATTAATTGTTCGTTCTCGGACTACAATTACATTTACTGGGATATCGCGAAGCCACGTTCTAGGGAGTCCTTCACAAAATGCGCTGTCAAAGGTTGGAGCTTTGATAAGATTGATAAGGATAAGTTTAAAAGATCCTTCTCCCTCTCCTCGGCTTTTGATGAGGCCGGTCAGGCCGTTCTGAGTGCGGATCAATTGGTGAGGAGGGTTACGGACGATATTTCCTTCGCGTGCGATGCCTCTATGCCCAGGATCAGGACCAATCATCGAAGGAGGGTCTACTGGTGGATGAGATCGCGGCTCTTCGTTCTGTCTCCATCAGGGCAAGGAGACTTTACACTCGAGCGAGAGGGAAGAGGAATCCGCCTGAGGATCTGAGCGACTTGCGCCGTTCCTTCGTTAGAAGCATGAGGGCGGTCAAAGCTGCGATCAATAAGTCTCAACAGGCGGCGTGGAATGAATTTATCGGTGAGATTGACAGAGATCCGTGGGGTCGTCCATATATTATAGTGATGAAGCGTGTCAGAGCGCGTGAGTCTCTTTCCCCGGTGGACTATCTTCCGATGTCTCGTATCGGAGACATCGTTCGTCTGCTCTTCCCCGATAAGAGTAGGATTGCGTGGCAGAGATTGAGTGTTGTCGGTAGCATTCCGGAGGTCA